TACATTTCTCACGGAAATAAATCCGGGACCAGTTTTCACGACTCGTTTCCTGAAATTCTCGCTGTCAAGAACATTAAGCCACGGTGGAATAAGTCTCATCTCCAGTACAACTAATTCAACCAATTTCCTTTTTAGGCACTGTAGCTGTTTTTATGCTTAGAATGAGACGTCTGCCTCCTCCGTTAACTCTTTACGTACCAGATCATTCTGTAATTTGGTATTCAGAAGACGCTGTAGTTTAAACTTGAAGCTCTTATTTTTTATTTGCCTCGAAAGATTTTGATGGTTTCTTGAAGGGGTGTGGGTGGTGAGTGTAAAGAGTTGAAGGTGTGGGGGAAAAATTGCTTTCGAGAGAACAAGAAAAGTTGTGTTCTGTGTGTTGAGTATCCGGAACTTCAAGGATAGTTGTTGTGTATGAGAGATTGGAAGGTTGAGGAGTGAGGGGATGAATTTCTTGTTAGTAGTGGTTGTGGTGGTTTGTATCATGATCCACGAGCATCCTGTTTTAGTAGGTCTATCCATCCTGCTTCCCTTTTCCCATAGTAGCTAGAGACGAGTGTTGTTATGGAGCATGACTTATCCAAATCGCGGGAAAAGGCATTCAAACGTGGTGACACAGTGAATTATACATGAGCCGTGGCTAAAATATGGAGATGAGAATCGACACTGTATAAGTAAAAAAGGAGGATGGAAAATGGAGAAAGAAGAAATATAGAGAGAAAAACATGGGAGTATCAACGAGTCAAAGATAAAAAAGTGTCGACGAAAGTTTAGCATGTATAATGATGATTGATTTAATGGTGATGATGGAATATTGAAGAAAAATGGCTGGTGAAGGAATATAGAAGCACTACGTAAACCGATTTATGATCGTTCGTGAAGTACTGAAACAATTTAATTTTTGCTTATATCCTACTCTTATTGTGTGTAAGTTGTGAATTTATTCCTGTACGTGATGTGAAAATATAGAGTAACATTTACAAACGTTTAGTATTTGAGACCAATCTGTGCGTTATGAGATAAATGTGACATTGTGAGCGATCTTTAACTTAAGACTTAACCACACTAGTAGGCGGTTGCTTTGAACAGTTCGTGTCTCGCGTCAGACATTCCACTTCGCGCTCCAGATAGATGGACGGTTGACTGAGCGTGTTGTCCTCTGGTTCGATTATTCAATGGATCATGTTGAATTAATGTGCGAGTGCCATTTTGTCGCCATGTATCATCCTTAATTTAGGCCTGTGCAGTAATTATACAAGCACAAAATTAGAGACTTTCCAGTGGGGAGTAGAATTGCATGTCAGTAGATGTCATGTCATGAAAGTGTCCGTAAAATCGAAGAAGAAGAATGGGATATGAGACGTAAGTCTTTTGCTGTTTATGTGGGATCTCTTTGCTGCTGTGATTATAGACACGGTGGATGTTAATGCAAGGAAAGATGGTCTTATGTTATGGTCGTATATTTGTCTTCGTAATGACATTGTAACTAATTTATTTTATTAAAATTGGTATGAACGTTGTGATACTAGAGGCAGTTTCATTTTAAAATAGAATGAATATTTGCTATTATTATAAAAAATCACTAAGAAATTTTAGCCTACGTACTTTTTAGAAATGTCTAATTTTATGTTTAGCCAAAAATCATTCGTTAAACGTGTTTTTATATTGTTATCCCCTTGTTACATTTTTCTCACAGGGGAGATTTCCACTCGTAAGAACGCAATATTATTAGACCGGTCAAATCAACGAGAATGAGTTTGGCTTCAGCGTTTAACACGGGGCGTAATGATGAGGGGCACCTTATTAGAATGTGAGAGAGTGAGCTGGATTAAACAGAGTCAGGCTAGTATTCAGTGGCGGGCAATTTCGTGACTAGCTGAGCGACCTTAAATTTCTCAACGAAGATTTTTTCCTATGGAATTAGTTATTAGTTAGTTGGTATGTCTTTCTGTTTGTCGGTCGTGGAAGGACCTGCACCCGGTCAACGAACTGCGTTTGTGTTTCTGTCTTCGATGTCGAGCAGAGGCGAGTTTGGTCTGCTCCCGGAATCAGCAGCAGCTAGTGCTTGCAGGGAGTGGCAGTGCAGTGAGTGTTGTCTCTCTTTTCAGGACCATCCGCATCTCTCCCCATGAACCCCGTGCTCACCGGTTTGATTGCCACGGCTGTGGGACTTCTAGTGATAGTGTGCGTTGTCTTTGTGACACTTTACCGGCGCCACCAGCATCGCCGTCATCCCCGCCAGGCAAAATTAAGCCAACTGGATGCGACGCTGCATGAGGCAGACGACCCGGCGTCGGCTGATGGCGGTTGCGCAAGCGCGGGGCAAACGACACCGCTGAACCCAGCATCTGCTTCCGCTGTAGGTGTCATTGTTGCTTCTGATCATCGGAACACGGAGGATACGGATCCTGATATTATCCCCAACAAATACGGTATGTCGGCAGAAAAACAGCTGAATATTAAAATTGTGGCTGCTGTCTTTTGGACCGTAACGTCGCGTGGACTTGCCGTAGGCATCGCCGTTATTGAAGATCACATTGCCTCAAAATTTTAATAAACCGTTTTGTTATTTGCATAAGTTAAGTTAAATTTCTGTAATAGGTAGCCTACATCTTTATACGATGTGAGTATGTAATTAAATTTACGTAAATATGTTTGGAATATGCTATAAAAGTTCGTTTAAAACAGATTTTCGAAGGCGTACTTTACTTAACTAGTTTTTTTTCATCGAGAAGTTGTTAGAAATCCCACCCAGCACCGAATCTGAGGACAAGCCCCTGTTCGCTCGTCGCTGCTGCGTATAAAATATAAGAAAATTGTGTGTTTAAATATTAAAGAAAATACTAAGAGAAAATTAAAGTTTTATAAAATTAAATCCTCGCTGCTTTAGGAGCTTAGGCATAAAATATTAAACGTCTAAATGAAAGAAGATTCCGTTGTTCACCAACGAACGGTAGAATGCTAATAGCGTAGCATCTAAATCGCACGTGGTAAATGGTATCCATCTTGAACTTAGGCGTCTTTATGAACTACATTTCTGTGTTATATGTTTGCCACGACATGTTTCTCCATCAGACTCTTTTATTTTATACCATTTAAGCTAATATAACACATTCGCGTGTTATTTTTTGGAGAAGACGGTACAGTCATAACTAGTATTAAACAGAACATTCCGTAGCAAAAATCCAAATTTTAACGAATTGCGTCTTTGTTTTGGGTACAATTGTCCGCAGAAATGCAACATACAGTAACACCTTTTTAGAGAAACGATACAAATATTTTTCTGCCTCGTTCTTATATTTTAGAAATGAAGATTCGTGATATATTTTAGCTAAGTTTCTTGTTTTGCTGCGACTGTATAACATTGTCTAACGTTATGTTATGAATGCACAGTGCCTTGTCATTTTTCTTCGCTCTCGACTGCTGTGTGCTCAATGACTTCATAAAACACAATAGCTTCAGGCATAACACGTTGAAGCGAACGATGGAGTGGGTTTGCTATTGCAGTTGCCTTCGTTGGGTCGGGTCGCAAAATACAGCCGTACCGTAACCGAAACTATATACCGTACTCTTTTGGTTTCTGTGAGCGAATTGTGCACTGTGTATGTTAAAGAATTTCTCCTTTTACTCATCTTCTAGGTTTCTTATTCTGACTATTTCTCGTTCTGTTTTCCTTTTTGCGTAAACATACTTTGATTCTCTCATTTCTCCTCGCTTTCTCTAGATTATACCCAGACAGAGTTAAAGAAGATACAGCGAGGTAGAAGGGAATATTGAGTGAATGTTTCTGCCCCTGTCTGCACAGCTCTAAAGAAATTTTTTCTTGTACGTTGCTATGATATACCAGAACGCAGAAAGAGAAATTTCCGAAGAGAATGAGAAAAGGCAGTGTTAAACTTGTACAATACATTTCCATCTATTTTATCGTCAATCTTTTAAGCTGTTGGTGTAGCTCAGAATTTGGAGTTGATATTTCAAAGATGTAGGCCTTCGTAATCAACGTTCATTTCATAACAAAAGTTTACAATGGTATAATAATATTTCACAGTCGACTCCAGGAGCATTGAGATTAAGGCAGTCAGAAACGCAGTCGATGTTACAGAGATTCCGACTGTGTAGTGTTTCTGAAGACTTCTTAATAAATACTGAAATGTTTAACTGGATACTCCTAGGCCTGGGTCCGGTGAAGGGCTTTGGTTAATTCGGTGATGAACCTTCGGGTTTCGTAAGCCATCTAGTTAGTTAGTTAGTTGCATACTACGATGTCATACTTTGCCAGTAATGTGAATTACATATATATATAAACTGATGTTTCCGCAAAAATATATAGGTATATTTAAATTAAATGATTGCTTCCATTGCGGTTCAGAAAATTCTTGCCATGAATATAAGAATATTTCTTGGAGACTGTTGCTTTAGTGTCTTCGTTCAAATGCGTGTAACGAGGGATGGCTTATTAGGAGGCTGGAGAAAGTTGCGCATTGAGGAGTATTAGAAGTTGTACTCCTCGCAAAATGTAATTAGACCAATGAGGATGAAATGGGCAGGCCGTGGATTTCGCATGGGAGAGAAGAGGAATGCAAACAAAATATTTATAGGTAATTTTATACGCAAATTTGTAAGATGCGGTTGCAGGTACTTTGCTTGCGTAATTGGAACAATTTAAATTATTTATTTGGGCATTGGGAGACACGTATGAGGAGGCAGTCGTGCGGAGAGTCATGATTGTGTGATATTCTGTAAACTAACTGATCAGTTTTGCAAATATGACACGGAAATTTAGCCAAGGTGAGATTTCAGATTCTCACGTCGGCGAGTATGTTGATGACTGTATTCTCGGTTATTGTGCTGTGTAATCTTGTAAAAGATGGCACAAATCACCCTGAAGACGTAGGCAGGAAGCACCCCTGAAACGCTGATAAACTTCTACCATATTGCTTGGAACAACATCCCAGACGATAGGCCTCTAAATGTAGCTCGCTTTAAAACTCAAGTATTTGATTCGTTAGTGCAGTCTGTTTTCAGAATATACGTCTGATGATCTTGGAATATAAATACGGTACATTACCTCTATAACATTATGTTGGCACAATATTATAGCTGTAGACATGGCAGAGATTAGAAAGAAAGATATTTTGTCCCGTGACCCCGTCAGACGAAAATGTTTTTTAAAAAAATAAAGGAAAAGGATACATTATATCCTTCCTCATTCGTTGCGGTACAAAACTCGCTTTGTCTTCCTCTTTTTCATTTGTGTGCTCATTTCCTTTTTAAATCTAGTGATTAAGTCATGCAGCGTATTAAACAGTGTTAAGTCTATGTGTTCTTCTCTGTTATGGGAGTAGTGCAAGTACACCTACATTGTATTTCATTTTAGATGTACCTTGTGATCTCCACAGATCTTATTTAATTTTACCCTATTTGGGACTACGGCATACTTTCCGTAGGCACAAACAGCGTCCCTTCGTAGAATAGATAGAAATTGAATTGATTTCCTATTGGAGAGTTCCATAAATATTATTATACATATATTTATTCACGAAGTGTCCAGAACCAAGGAATAGGATTTGTTGTATATTACTGGGCGATATTATTTCCGAGTTAACACAATTTTCTGCCTTTCGTGTAAATTAATACCGAGCGTCATCTCTGTATAAATCACACGCACAAATATGTTTCATAATCTGTTAACACCTGCTTGTGATGATATTACCGGAAAGGTGTACTCTGTGGAGTAAAGTGTTCTTCAAGCCACATGGCCTCTTATTATTGCACTAATGTGACCCGAACTCGGTTTTGACCCTTAGACCATTATTACACTAAACCTTTCTTAGGCCATTGTTTCACAATAATGACTCCGGTAATGCAGGTTTCCTTCCTCCTTAGAAAAAGTACGACAGACGGACTGACAGACATAAACTGATGCGTAAATTGTTCTTTTAGCACCTTAGAACTGTGAAGAACACCTAAAAATGCAAGGGTAACGTCCGTTGTCCTCAAGATTCTGAGAGCTTTTTTACACTCGTAAGGTAACATTTTCTAGACTGTATTTTATAAACTGCCTATATCAATAATCTATTATGACCTCTCTTTACATTCGGAAGCACACCTTTTGACATATTTTTCGAAATTCTTGTGGTGAAATACTTTATTTATTACGATTCTTAATACTTTTGTGCGAATTATTCCAGAACTCTGTAAAATCTACGTAGTGCTCAATTTTCGATTCTTTATGTGTAATCGTAGTTTCGTTTTCAGGAACACGCGCAGAATAAAAGTGATCACCTTTCTTATCAGGTTATGGGAACTTCCCAATTTTATGAGGAAAATCAGAGCGTAGAATGCTTGTCAAGTTATATGAAATCCCATCAGTTGGTACATAATTTTAGCTGGAAAGAAGGAAAACCTGGTACGCGTACGTGATGACACATTGCATCTGTATTTTATTCTGAAACTAGTTAATTAAAGTAGCCCAAAAACAAACAAAAAAACAAAGAAGCAACTCGTACTGTTCATAAGCTATTTGTAAAATCCTGCGGAATACGTTTGAAAATTTTGATACTGCCACTTCGAAATGAAGTACTTTGTTCCTCTTTTGCCTGAAGTTTTGTGCTGTCGAGATTTTGCAAACACTCAATGTTCATATTTTGCTCTCCCGAATTTCAAAGACCAGGGGCACTTACGTAATTGAACTTGAAACTTAATCTTTTGTTTTATAGAAAGGCGTCCCCTGAAGGGTTTCATGAAGATGTACAAGACTCCCCCACAACGGCGTCGGAAAAAGAATGACGCTGAAGACGATGAGGAAATTCAAAGGGAAGAGCTCAACCACCGCCATCTTGCCAAAGACATTCACAACAACCAAGTAAACAGTGTAAGTATTCGAAGTTTCTTCCCTTTCTGTGCCACAGCGAGAAAGTTTCTTATGGAATTAAACTTGCATGCTTTTAGTACAGAACAAATCCAAAACTCATACGAAGCAGTACGTACGCACCCCTTAGCATGGACAAACATTCTTGGTAATGAATAAAATTTATTTCGTGTCACGTAGGGCGGAATGTTGCAGATTGTCGTCATATGAATTAATTTTTACTTTGTAGCAGACTGAGCTAGCCTCCGGCATTCATAGGTCTCGTACTAGCAGTCTTTTCGTTCGTTGTTATACTTTATTCCAGAGTTTACCCGGAATTCCTGCTCTGCCCTTGAATTCGTGAGTTATACTGTACGAATCTCGGATGAGATGTCTGTAATTCTGAAGTACTTTGTGCTTGTCCTTAATCCCATTAGGAAAATTTTTGATGTATGACTAAAATAGGCCACTGCTACTTCCTTTCATATCCTACTCTGCCGGGTAGAACGATATTGACTGATATTCAGTCCAGTGTCAGCCGTGATTATCGTAACTGTTTTCGTGGTTTTTTCGAGCCTCTCCAGGTTAATGGCGTATTACTGGGTCAACCTTACAGTGTTTCAAGACAGTCTGACTCAGAAACCTATCGTAATCACCATTTATCTCCCAATCTCTCAGTGCTATTTTGTATTAGTTGTTTAGCGTTTCGATGACGGAAGTTACGGGAACTTATTTCCCGCGCATAAAGCATAGAACCAGGATCATTAGCGGTTTGTTCTATGATTTAATTCCTTAGCCCGTAAATGGTAGGGCGTGATGGAAGAAAGCTGCATTTTCTATACGTATGATCAACTTTCCTTCAACACTTACCTGAAAACAGTTTATTTTTTAAATTAATTACTAATTCTGTGTAGGTCTGAGATGTGTCTGTGCTGTTCCTTGTTAGGTATGCAATCTGCGTGCGCACAAGGGCGTAACGGCGTCCAGTCCTCTAAGCGCCGGTCCAGAGACGCTGTCGCCCTCGTCGCCTCTGTTGCACAAACTTGGACACGAAGTCGTGACATCGTCACACAGGATACAAGAGAGTTGTATATAGAGGCACTGTCCTTCCCTGTCAGACGTTTATATTGCAAATAATAAAAATAAATAAAAATAAGAATATGTATGGGAACGCTGATTATATTCTTAGTGTAACCCAACCCCTTCCCTGATTTAAAAATTTCATATGGCCTTATATAAGACGACTAAAAGACGTTTTCCTACAGGTGACAGACAGAGTAGCTTTTGGAACTGAAATATAAACTTAGCCGCTGAATTAAGTTTATGCCGGCCCTTATATTGAAGTGAAAATGTCCTTCGTACGCTGTGTTCGGCGGGTGGTACTTTATATTCTTGAAGTCTACTGTCTAACATTACGCGGTGAAATATGTAAATTGCCATTTCTAAATGTAAGTCAACGTGCGTAGTGGTGTAGTATCAGTCTTAACGCAGAGCAAATTCAGTTTTATTGCGAATGTTCTTCTGTAGAAAATCATATCGAGATTACAAGTTGAGGCCTTCGAGGGATCTTCTTGCAGAGTCCAAATCGCTAGAAACTTTACGATTTCAACAGCGTTTTATACGGAGTAATCACGACAGTGCTTCTGGATTGGAGTGAAGACTTCAAGACACTATTTTCTTTCGCTATGCAAATAAATTATAAGTTTTGGCTCGTATTTTAGTCATTTACAGAATGTTACCATCGATATCCATCCCCGTGGGTTTTGCCTTCGTTCAGATATTAGCCGATCTACAGATAGGTATTATCACAAGAGAAGATAATAATACATTTACGTAAAAATACTAGCGTTACTCATTTGTTTTATGTAAAATAGAACGTCACCGAAGTTAGAAAAGAAACCGCTTAAAAATTAGCCTATTGTATTATTTTGCATTCTACCATGAATTTCTGGCAGGAATAATGACGTTTTCAGATGTCTGTATAGTGAAACTGGTTTAAAAAATGTAATACTTCAAAGATGAGATAATTTTAGAGAGTGATGTTTTATGCGTTCTAGTTTCATAATTGAAGCTCGTTAAAAGCAATTGTATGAAATCATTCTACATCATTCAGTAGTCGACAAAAAAACAACCTTAACTTTACACCCACAGCATGTCGTAATAAATTCACGCGAATAATTTGTCACTGCCATTTCTACCACACTGTTAAAATCTGTTTGCGTCTCTTACCCATAAAACATTGCGTGCCGCAATTTCTGTTAGTCAACCGAAATATTTTAAACCGAGTATATTAAGACAGTATTTTCCCTGGCTTAAGTTAACCATGTTAATCTGTCGATAGATACGTCCAAAGATGACCTCATTGCACTGAACCCTCGATAACATGGTTCCTTGTTATAAACTTAGGTCTAAAAACGTATATTAGATTTTCCATACCTCGCAAAACTTTCGGTTCTAGTAAATACCGTCCAATTGTAAAAGTGTGTAGTCGTAGCTCATCCTTGCTTGTATTTTGTATGTTAAAATGAATCTATTAAATATTCATCATATCCTTCATAATCGTAGTATTAAAAAATACATTCGTAGTTTAAAACTCGTCTTAAAATAATTCAAGAACCAAGCAACAACAAAAGATTAAAAGAACGTAGAAAATATATTCCCGTCAAATTTCGTAAACGTCTAAAAAGGTAATATTCTCGGCGGAGAATAATAATGCAGCGAAGTTGTCCAGAGACGTCACCATCCATAAGACAGCCTTCTTGGATTTTTGCCGGCTGCATGTATTTCAAGGCTACAGAAATCAAACCGCCTGTTACTGACATCTACAGGGAATTGTAGTGTACTTCTTAACGTCGCAGGTCGGTTGTTGACAAGTTGGTACAGGAATTATACTACCTTAACAGTCTGGCCGGGACGTGTAGTGACGGTGGTTGGTTTCGTGTTTAGGTGAACGTGTATGTTATTTAAGTGCTGGATAAATTATATTCAACCAGTTATATTTCGAAGAATCCATTCCACCATGAAACAGTGTGACTTTGAAACAGACTTCGAGCTGGAAGACAACAGAGTACTCGGAAGTGCCACTACTGAAAGTTCAGGTAAGATACTTTGTTTGAATTCCCCTTAAAATACGTATAACATTACAAAAGCGACTGGGGTGTGATTGTGTGCGTTATTTAGCTCCAATATTTATTCTGCATCGCACCTTATAGTCTACACTTTTTATGAATATTCAAAGAGAGCAAGGTTTCATCAATACAGAAAACAGAATTTCAGACAACTCACGTAAAACATTGCATATTATTGAAGGAAACCCTATCACTTATTTAAGGCAGGGAGCATATGGTTGTTGTTGTTGTTATTGTGGTGTAATTTGACGATAGTAGCTCTCATAACATTAAAAGATAGGTTAGGTTATTGTGTAACGAACTGGAAAGCATGTGGCGTGTTCCGGTGTTGTTCTGAAGGAACTGAGGAAAATCTTTGTGCAGTAGTTTAGGTTTCTTAATCGAGACATCCTGAATACGATGTAGGACTGAGAACCATTACCTCTGACTACATGGGGTAGTTTATTCAGTCGTGAAGTTCCATCGCATGAGTTTTGATGGCGAGTCACAAGTGCTGCTTCTGACGTATAGTGCTGCCACGCAACTCGTGATGCGCAGGCCTGCCCGACCTTGAAAGGGAGTTCGTTTTGATATTACTGAAGCTTGTGCAAGTTTGGTCGGTTGTTGGAGGTGGGGTGGGGGAGTAGCGAAGGTACGCTTAAATTTTGTTGCTGCAGCGAATTTAAAAATAATCGTATTATAGCCCTTTTTAATTTCTCATGTTCACGTAGCATAGTGTGTTCATATTTTGTAGGTAAGTGGTATCGATATCGGATGTGCCCGAGGGTCTGGCGTAGATGTTAATGCGTATGACTCCAGTACGGAAGGAGCCTGTTTTATATTGTGGATATTAATCGTGCATCCATACCAAGATTTTATGAATATCCTCGGTGGTTCTCGAAGCCAGTAAATACATTCTTAAATTGTTATGATAACATGACTTAAAATTGTAGGTATTCTTTCTGAATTATTTAGATTAGACACGAACAGAAATGTGGATATAAATAATAGTCATATTTACTTTTAAATTTTATTAAAAGTGTTTGTGCTGGATATTACAAAAAGATGTGTACACACATTCAATGAATGAAATAAAGGAATTCAAATATACTAAATCATTACGTGCACCAGGTGAATTAGCGAATCTAGTGAAGGTATTCATAATGAGTCACCTTTAGCTGTGTGGCACAGTGGACAGTTTTGAGCAACTTATAAACAAGTGCCATCGTGTTATAATGTGTAAACATCTTCTTGGAACAACCTGTGTTTTGGAGTACCGTAGGCATTTCCTATCATTTTCCACCAATAATGGCCATTTGGGCCGTCAAGTTGAATTTATTTATACGGTTCTAAATTTATTTATTTTAATCCTTCCATTATTCTCATTTGTAAGCTGAAGGGACGCAAGTTTATATTGCTATATATAAACCGTATATGTGCTTATATAGGTGTCGTGTACGTAACACACATTTTCACTTTAATAGCTTACCTTAATTTGAAAGTCATCTAGTCGTGAACTTTTAACACAAACTGACAACCGACCACTGCCAGTCACATGGATACGGAACAGCGATCAGCTTCTGTTACACGCGGTTTGTTAAACCCAAAATAAATAACGCCCACTCCCAAAAAAAAATGTGACGTAATAAAATGACCCTTATCGTAAATAATGAACAGAATCACGTGAGTTGTAGCACCGTGTAGTCTGGTTTCCGAAAGTTTCAGTGCTCTTTGGCTGCTTCCATTGGTAGGTCGATGAGTGTTGGTAAACTTTTACCGGACGGTGCTACAACCCAGGAGACAGCCATATCAGTGAGATTTTGTTAGGTCACGTTTCCTCAAATTTATATTAGAATATTATTCACCGCTACTCGCTATAGACCCTGTAGTGGTCTGGACTCTCCATCAAGGAGTCTGCAAAACATTTAGCAGAGGATTTAAAAAACTTGAAATTCTTTAGCAGGTCAAGGCTGCTGTTAGTTGTAAGCGCCCAGAAGGTGGAGTTACTCACTGTGACACAGACGTCGGCACAAAACTTTATATTTCACACGATTCTAGTATCTTCTTGTAATCATTTTTACAACTCTATTTATGCACCAGTGTTAAGACGACATTTAAGTATAGTTTTCACAAAGAAAAACCCGTTACATTCACTGAACTCTCTCTCTCTCTCTCTCTCTCTCTTTATCCATCCATCCATGTCTGTGGTGGGCTCGAACATCAAATTTGATCACGACCTGTTCATTCCATATTCTTTCTTGTTCATTATTTATTAATTATCCTGTAATTCGACGCTATGTAGACTGAAGTAATGACATCGTCGTTAAATGATCCGAAATTAAAATTACGTTTCTTTACATTGATTCCAGACTTGTTGCTGTTTCCTGTAGTTTTATGTCTTAATTTTGTTAATCTGAATGTCAAAATAATAAACACTAAACTGTGAAACCTGGGAAGGAATTCAATGAAGATTCTTTCCATTTCAGTACACTGTTAGAGAGCTTTTAGGTGAAATTATTCTTCTGTTGGATTTGACAGAAGGGGCTAATCCCAATGGGACTCGACAGAATTGTCATTTTCATCTGAAAATGGGACCAGAACCAGCTCCCGAAACATCCTAGGGTCATTTTTAGTATACTGAACAAATGATCGAATCTACTGACACATATGCAGAATGTAATACGCCATCGCTACAAACCTTTATAGAGTTTTGTAGTAATATCGCCTGATATCTTTTACCGCTGTGTGATTCTCTATGGGTACAGCTAGTCTTATATTTACCCCGTCTAACCATGTATTATTACAGCGTGTGAGCACACATTTTCCTCTGTCAGTTCTGGTCATGGATATATCAAAAGTTGAGAGCCTTCGTAGAATACGTCTGTGTTATTACACGGTCAACCGAACGTGAAATAACCAAACTTTGTTTCACGCTGTAGGTATCAGTGTCTGGTACGCTAGAAATAAGCCAACCTTGGCGATAATTCATCCAGGCAAAGAATACAAAGCTTGGACAAGGTAGATGCTGTTCCTAAGTAAAGTGTCTCTACACACGACCGTGGTGTATGGTACAAGTCGCTCACATCATTACTTAACGTAACGTACCAGTATGAAAGTTTTCATATTCAGAGAATCATTTAAAGTTGTACATGTAACTTAGTGTTAAATTTGTACGAGCTGCCAAGAACTGTGTTAACATTCTCCTGTACGTATAGGGATTTGTGCAGGAGGTTATTGTGTTCTGAGCGATTTATTTGTGACGAAGCTCGACGCATAGAGTAAACTTTTATGAACGTACTCAGCATGTTTCCTCAAGGCTATGACTCATACTGTGTGTTTTTAACTCTGAAACACAGATACGTCCTATCAAATTAACATACAGTTATTTTAAATTTCATTCATAGTGCACTTTCTCATAGAAAGAGTAGTCATTTCCCTAAACGGAATCAACCAGTTTATGATTGTAGTGGAGACGCGTTATGTTATCTTTGAGGTACAGATTGAATATTTAAATATTACTTACGTAAACTGCATGCCTCAAAGGGTTAAGGCTACTGTTTAATAATTGCATGATTTCTCATTTGAAGAACTATTGTATCATTGAAAAACTTTTAAAGTTATATTCCTTGGTTTTTCAATCACTAGCTGGAAATAGTTACGCACTTCAACCCCAGTTAAAATTTATTTAATTCATTATGTATCAATTTCTGTAGCAATCGAAGACGTTAAGTGAGGTTTCATGTAAATGGGCTGCGTTCCATGAATATATAATTACTGTTAATTGTTGATTTAAATAATTGGCAAACAACTCTTCGATCACAGGTAAATGCTTTCAGTTTTATTTAAATATTCAGTATCTTACACAGCAAGAGCTTCGCTTTTTTTAATAGATATTTCCGTAATATAATTTTATTTCGTTAATTAAAGTCAATTTACTGCTTGCAGAGATTAAGTGTAAGCGTAACCTTTATTTTTGTACCAACCAAAGAATTTGATTTGATGTTCAGAAGAATATAATTAAAGTCGTGTTTCATGGCTACTTTTCCTGTAATACGTTCGGCCTATCTGGTTGTTTAAATATTTATTACACGCGGTAAATTTGTGAGTAATAAATAGCGTTCTCCTTGAACGTATCAGTGTTCGAGATCTGTTTGTTTAACATTTCCGCTTTGCCGAATGCATACGTTCCTTTAATCGAAGGTTTTCCAAATGGATTTATTACGTGTCTGCCACTTGCATGAAAGATTCTGTCCCTGTCGTGATCGTTGTGCAAAATATTATTGGCTGTATGTAATTATGCAAATAATTGTTAGTAAAAAATAGGTCCGAAGATATTTTCCATTTAGAATTAGAATTTTGCAGTGCATTTAATAGCTGTACTTATTGGATACATTATTACTTGCAACTAAGACATTTTATAATCATAGAGGAATGAATTATTATAATTCTACTGCAGAATGTCGTAGACGCTTCTGAATCTAGCGCCTACGTTAAGAACCATTCAGTGCCAGTGAACACACGTGCAGACAGCTTTGCTGTCGTGTTCAAATCATTTGTTTTCCGTTTCCACCTATTAAATCCCTTCTCTATTTGGAACCAATAAAATATCTTGTGCTATCCTTCAGGCCTTAAAGTACTGGCGGGTTCTGACCTCCTAAAGGCGGCAAACTCCTGGATGGATATTGATTCTGACAACAGGAAATGCAGGCATGTTCTGAGAACAGCTGGAAGTTCTGGAACAGTTACTTCAACATGTTAGGACCTATACACACCGTGTTGTTTGAAGTTCAAATGTCACTTCAATTCGGCGATGTTAAATATTTTGGACAGAGAGTAATTTATTAGAGGAAAGGGGGAGTTAATTAGCTACTCTTGGGGTTCATTGCTTTGTAGTTATGATTAACTGAACATGTCAATGTGTAACCATCGATTTTCAGAGGTCGAATGGCTAAAGTAGTGGTTATCTGATGCCACGATTGTTGCACGAGTCT